AACATTTTAATCGTTGCCCTTAGGGATTAAAATACATGTCTTTAATTACACAGACGATAGTTTCAAGTAATATTATACTGTTTCACATGCAGTATAAAGACCTTACAAAACAGCATACTCTTAACTCCTCCCTCTCATATTTCATATTTATTAACATATACTTTACTTTTAAATATTCTGTAAACATGTCTCATATTTTGCTTAAGATCAGGAATTGGCAAGGTTTTACCTATTAGCTAAGTCTGGCCACTCATCTGTTTTTATATAGAATACCAACTGTTTCTGAATAGCCAATAAGATAAAGATATCTTTTTCATCCTTTAGATGTTGGTAAAAAAAATAAAAAAGATATTGCTTGACATAGGAAAATTACATAAATTTCAAGTTTCCATGTCTATAAATAAAGTTGTAGTGGAACACAGACAGACTTTTTTGTGTGTTTTCTATGGTTGCTGCCAGGGCAGATCTAACCAGCTGTAGCTGGGCTGTGTGGCACACACAGCTTAATATATACACATGCATAGAAAGCCAAGCCCTGCTTTTTGAACATGTTTCTTGTATTTAAAATTAAGAAAAAATAAATAGATTCTTATATTGCCTTCAACCATGCCATTTTTCAGTGTACTTCTATTATACAGGTCCAAACTGCTAATATACATACGATTTGGATATAAATACTATAAATTCATTTCCCTAAAAAATTTCTTTTAAAATTTCTTCAGCTCAGTCCTTATAACACACGATCTATTTTTTGTGGGGGTGGGGGGTACTTTTTTATTTGAATTTTGGGTACCAGGAGTTGAGTTCAGTGTCTTGCATATCATAGGCATGCTCTCACCACTGATCTACACCCCCACTATTGATCACTTTTGAAAACCTCTTTACTTTCCTTCCATGTTTTTTTAAACATTCCTTATATTCTAGTCTCTATTGTGTTTCTGGGAGTCCATTACAGATACATTTACCTGATTGGTTTTATTTTTCAACTTGTGCTTTTTTTGCTTTTTGTTCTAGTAATTTTTATTGATTTATGTTTAGTCCACTGGTTTCACCGTCTGCTGTGGTAAGTCTACTGCTGATCCTGCTGAAGGCATTTTATGCTGCTGTAAATGCCACTGATTTCCAACATTTCCATTTCATTCTCCCTCACAGCTTTCATGTTGACTCTGTAATTGTCCATCTGATGATATCTGCTGTTCTATCCAGTCTGAACAATTCTCTGATAGAACCTTAGCAATGCTACAGGTTGAATGTGAAGCCTTGTGTGTGCTGGGCAAGTATGGCCCTACTGAGCTACACCCTCAGCCCTATATGCACGCTCTTGAACCAACTCCTAGTAGTTGGCTGTTGCAACTTGTTATCTGATGCTTGTTAGCCTGGTGGTCAAGAGCATATGAAGTGATGAGACACTACTCCAATGTCCGGTTCATCTGCTGTATGTGGCAGACACTGAGTCCTGTATTTTTCTAAGTCTTGGGGTAAGAGTTTCACCTCTAATTCTGTCCTCCTCTACATGTTGAAGACTCTTCATATTCTATACATAGAACCTATTTCTCCCTTTGCTCAGAAGCAGACCAATTTTCCCTTCCCTTTGATTCAGAAGGTCTTCATCTGTGTCACGAAGAGGAGTTGTTTCTCTTATCCTAGAAGTATTGTTTTGTATGAAAAGATCAAGGCAGGGCTTCTTGTCTTTCCAATAGTACCTTATGTTTCACTCCCAGACCTATCCTTAGTCTTTCTCATAACCATCAAATGAAACCCTTGGAATGCCTGCAGAAAGGCTGTACATTCTCCTTATGATTGCAGCCCCCATTCTTTCTATATTCCTAGCCAGTCCAAGCTAATCTTGGGTAATTTGTGATCGAATTTTAGCTTAAATTTTTTAATTTGTGGAATATCCAGTGTACACCGTAAGCCCCAGGTTAGAAAATGTTTCTGCCTCATCACTCCTTGAAGGTATTTGTCTTTCCTCACATTTTTGCTTGTCAATTTGCTCTACAACCTCAGTTTTGTGATGGATTCAGAAAATGTGATTTCTACAAACTATCTAACCCTATTTTTCATTGTAAGAACAGTAGCAAAATGTTGCCCAACTTTACACACCCTGAGTGTAAGGAGAATATTTGTTTGCTGTTTAATGATCTTCCTTAGATTATTAGTTAAGCTGACAAAATTTCATGTTCACAAGCCTTTCATATTTGTTCCCCCACAAATTTGGTTCTCTATATATTTAGCTCATACTGACATATCACTACATATGATGGACAGTTTCCACTAATACTAGATTCAGCCAACAAAAAATTTTAGAACAATTACAACATCCCTGAATATCTACATAGAGAAGAATCCTGACACAATCCCTGGAAAAACTAAGGCTTTAATCAATGACAAAGTCTGGCTACTTTAGAGTTGTTTGTTGAGATGTTATCCTTTTTGGACTAAGACAGTGGGGGGATGAGCCTGTAAATTGCTGTTTTCAGGCAGCTCACAAACGGTTGGAGAGCCTGTCTCAGAATTCTTCTATAAAATGCTGCACAGATGACTTGACTTCAGTGGGTCTTTTTCATCGCAGTCTTTGGGGGTTTTTTTTGGCCTTAATAACCTGAATGGAGAAAAACAGGGAGACTGAGATGCTGCTATTCAGTGACCCTCCTCTCACTCTGGTGACTGTCTTATTCCCTCCCCCTTTCTAATCTATCCACTCTTGGGTCCCTCTCCTGAAGTACCTCTGCTCTCAATATGGATACTCCTATCTAAGAAGGGCATACATGAAGATTTATCAAGTTTCTACACCAAACTTATAAAGAGAGACAGCAGTCAGTGCAAATCATCTTACACACTGGGGAAGAGAGGAAAGTGCTGCCAGCAGGATGGGCACAAGGCTGCAGTGACTGACTCAACTGCCCTTCACTATGGAGGCTGTATGAATGTTAGGATTGGCTCAGAAATGTGTCTTCAAGGTGTTTATGGTCTTACTCAAGATTTAACTGACTTTGTCAGAATGACTTGTGCGACTTTGGGGAAATTGTCTCCATTAGCTTTGTATGGTTATTAAAGAATTCTTGATGGGGTTCTTTGAAAACCAGTGTACACATGCCTTTCTTGTAACACTCATGACTTCATAATTGTGTATCTAGGATGTGTGTTTTCTAAAAAATGAACTCCTCAGATCTGTGAGATGCAGTGTTTTAAATATCAGAGTCTTCTCTGCCATATCCTCTTCAGCAACATCTTTTCAGCTTTATGACAAAAATCAGAAAAGAGCATCCCCTTTGAGTGCTGACTTTCTTCCAAGCAGTTCCTACCTTAAGGAAGCTGTGGGGTCCAGATATCAGCTGTAGTTCCTCTCCACATTTTGACACCTCAAAGAATGTAAGTCGAAGTTTATCTCCTTCTTCACATTTTAGTTTGCTCTGGTTTCCAAGCACCAACACCGCCATCTCCCCTGTGTTGTCATTTACATCATATAACACACTATCTTTTTCCTCTGTTTTCTGGAAAAGGAAAGCAACACCCTGTCTCTCATTATGTGGCAGGAATACCACGTCAATCATTTATCAGACATGACAGAAGCAACTTCCAAAGCGAAATATAAGAAAAAAAAAAAAAAACAGCTTCAAAACTAAGAGGTTTATATCTGACAGATATAAACAAATTTGGATGAAGGAAGTGGGTATGTCTTGTTAGAAGTACATTGTCTTTCGTGTGAGTTGGTCTACTCTCCAAATCCTTTCCTTTGGGAGGACAGGAGGGCCCATAGACGCAACAACTTGTAGATAGGAAAAGGTGTGGCTTCTCCAGGGCCAGGAGCCAGGAGGCAGTCAAAGGAAAGGAAGATCCTGGGGTTAAATGAGAGTTATTTTATACAAGTCCGGGAGACACATGAATCACAGATGAAAGAACTAGAAAAGAGTCTAAGAATAAAAACATTGAAGACAAGAAATAATCAGCTCCAGATTAGAAGGGAGCCAGATGCCAATCAGTTTCCTAAAAGTTTAGCAGTATTTGAGATTTAGTTTTACTGCCAAATGAATGGATATTAGGAGATAGCTGGCCAGACTGAAGGCTCAAAACAGATAAATGGAACATAGTTTTTCTATCTAAGATACTTTTATGTCTGAATTTTCCAAGAGGACAATTTCCTCCTGTCAGCCTCTCTGACAGGACTGAAGAGACCATCCCTGGCCACTAGGTGTAGACTCAGCAGGTTTCCTTTCTGTGGACCTTCAGAACCGGTCCTAGACCAGAAAATTGGCCCTATGAACTAGTTCCTTAAGGCTAGTGATGTCATAATGTTTCTTCTCATTTAGTAAGCCTCCTCATGCTAACACTTCTATATTCTTCATTAACACTAGTTCTTTAATCCTGTCCTATTTATCAGCCTTTCAGGCCAGTTAGTGTGCTTTATAATTCAACTACAGTGCATTCATAACAACAGCCTTACAGTAAGGATGTACATGTCAAGTATAAAAGTATCACAGAGGGGGAGCTTTGCACATGAGTTTTAACAAATTATCATCCTGCAACTCCTTAACATTTTGATTTTATTTGTATTAGATTTTTTTGCATAGAGAGAAATATTGAAACACATAATTTCTAAAGTTCCTTTAAAGCTTAGAAGATATATTAGTCTTATTAACCAATATAAAATTATATTCAGAATCTTACCTTCTGAACTACAAATACCCCATTCACAATTGTTCCATGGGGCTGAGATTGAAGCTTATTAATCTTGGGAGTTTCCCCAGCTTTTCTGATAATGTGCTTTGGGACACTGACCTGGTGGTCAGGTTCATCATCAATCACAATCGAAGAACTGTCCACTTCCAGGTAACCACTGTGCCAATGATAATTTGATATTATAATTATTCTCTTTGGGGTAAATTTATCTTTCAGCTGTATATTAAAAACTTTTACAAAAAAGAATTCCCTCTCCGTAGCTACTGTAGCATGAAACATCTTTTGCTTCCTTCCCTGGGTCTCAAACACGAAGGGCTTCATTGCTTTTAGCACCAACACTGTCAGAGGGCCTTGCTGCAGACTGCTTCCGATGGATTCCTGCTTGGCGACCATCTGCTTTTTCTGAGGCTGAAATAACAGAGGAAAGATAGCTGTGAGTCATGACTGTATTATTAAGCTAACTTGCTTCATTCAGCATAAAACCTCAGCAAGCTAAAGGCTGAATCAAAAGGGAAGAGAGTAGTCCCTTTATTTACTTTTTTATTATGTATATTTTGCCTTCATGTATGTAAGTGAACCATGTGTGTGCAATACCCATGGAAGCCAGAAGCCAGAGAAGGACACCAGATCCCCCAGAACTGGAGTTACAGATGGTTGTTATGTTAGCCACATTATGGGTTCTTGGAACCAAACCCAGGTCCTCTGGAAGATCAACCAGTGAGCTTAACCACTGAGCCATCTCTGCAGCCCTGTGTATTTATTTTACTGTGGTATAGGGTGAGGGAGTTTAGTGAACTCTACTGAGATCTTCAAATTCCTAGGAATATCCCTATGTGTAATAAAAGTACAGATTCAGTTAAATATGAATAAACAAAAAGATCTCTGACAGAGAACTACAACTGAAGGGAGAGTTTAAAATGAGTCAATTTTATCTTTATGAATTTACCCTTAGAAACAATGAGTTGTATATTAAGGCTTACATAAAAATTATATCTTGTCATTTGTATTATAAAATTATTAAAATGATTTAAATATTAAAATGGATTTGATCAAATAAAGTATTATAGTAACAAATTACTATGAAAATATTAAAAATGCTTTATAGAGTTAATATAACAAACTATCATACTTGACATAATAAAGTACAATGTGTTCTTTATTGAGTAAACAACAAAAAAACAACCCATAAATACACACAGGGACATTGCCAATGTGAAATAGGCTTTTCTCTAAATAAGATTATAGTTAATTTTAGTCCATCTTGTATTTTCTGTTTTTCTAAATTGAGAAAGAAGCCTTCTTTTGTTTGTATATTATAGGAAAGAGTATGTTTTAAAACAATTCTCTATCTGTAACCAAACAACCTCAGAGGAAAAAAGGCACATAAGAGCACATATAATTTGAATTGTGTCTCTGAAGACCCTGTAGTGGTCATGTGAGTACACCTAATGGACAGCAGTCCACACTCAACTTGTTCCAACGTAGGAAAATGTCATTTTTACTGAGGTCTACTGCAAAATTTCTGGCCTTCAGCCTTAGGTGTCTTTTCTTGGATTTTCTGGGCTACAGAATGTGTACTGTTATGACTGATGACTCAATACAGTACTTAGACCTGGATATAATTTTCCTGACAATTTTAGAAATTTATAAGTGAAACATAGTGGAAGTGTGTGTTCTAAATAGATAGACTAGAATGGAATCCACATAAACAGTTTCTAAGTTCACACATATATAAAATGGTGTTTCAAATGAAATTGCATGTGCTTAGTGGACTTTGTGATGAGTCTCTACACATTGTTCTGTCAGAACTAAGGGGCTGAGAGTCTCTCCAAGTTTTATTCTCAACTATAGGGAGCTACATTACCATGACAAGTATAGCAGTAGAGTGAATTCAGGGCTTTGGACCTGCCTTCTAATTATGACAATCCTAAAGGGCATCCTTAGTCCCCAAGTCCTCCATGAGATGGGTTGACATCTTTGCTACAATTTCATTGAACTTGAAGTTCCCCTACTTTTTAAAATCCTCACAAGTACTAATCCTGATTGCACCCTAAACGTGCTTCATGAAAACTGTTCATATCAGAATTTTCTACCAATAAAAGATAATACATAGCAAGGTATGGACATGTCCTGGGCAAGCAATGTCAGAAGCTTCATGGGTGTTTAAACTAATGAATTTGAGATGACTTTTCTTTTGTAATCCAGATGTATCTTTTGTGTCGTAGTCTTGCTTTCCTTACTTGAACACTCTAAGATAAAGAACAGATACTCTAAAGGTACAGAATGACAATAATAGAAACTAGAAGATGCTCTGATAAGAACTAAGGATGCTCCTGTAGCCTACCTTAGCTGGAGGAGAGACTTCTGTAGAGGGTTTCTTGATGCCGTCTTCTCTCATGGTGGCAGAGACAACAGGATGAGCTTCAGTTTGACATTTTTCTACTTGCTTTGTTCCATTCTTTGGATTTGGCTTGCATTTGTTATCAACTAATTTTTAAAACAGAAAAAGACATATTAAGCTAGAAAACATGAGAAAATATAGTTGAGAAAATTGAATATCATTATCTCTTTAGAACAAAATTAAAAGATGATGGAAGCAGGACAGCAGATTCAGAGTTTCCCAGCTCTAGCCTCTTCCTAGGAATCCAACTCACAGCTATTCACAGACACGAAAACATTTGGGAATATTTCAACATGAAGCTGAGGTGCCCACAAGGACCACAGAACTGAGAAAAGCTCCACTACGAGGTAAGAGTAATGATTTCATTATGATTCATGATTAAAAATCATGTCACCTCTCTCTCAAGCTGGCACAGTACTTCATATTCCCTGGGGCCTCGGTTCCTTTAATGAAAAGGGGAAGCTGGAGATGATCAAGTGGCTTCCCCAGCACTTTGGAGAGCACTGTAGGAGGCTCATTTACACCTCATCACATGAGGAACTTTGGGGTCACTGGCAGGACTTGACAAACAGGGATCAAATAGAAACATGCACACACACACCCCCACACACATGCACACACATACACACATAAATGGTAGTATGGTAGTAGGTCTCACAGTAACCAGCACATAGATATTGATAGCTCTGCTTTCTGGAGTCACCAAACCCGAGAGAATACCTATCAAAAATGTCCTTTAAGAAGCATGGACAAGGCTGGAGAAATGGCTCAGTGGTTAAAAGCACTGGATGCTCTTGCAGAGGACAGGTTCAATTCCTAGCACCCACATGGCAGTGAAAAACTGTCCATCAGTCTAGTTCCAGAGGAATACAGCACCCTCTTCTGACCTCTGCGGGCATTGCATGACATAGGTACATTTATACACATGCAGGCAATACACTCACTCATACACATAAAATACTAAATAAAATATTTTTTAGAAAAAGAAGCACAGACAAAAAAAATGTTGTCTATCAGTCCCTAGCCAAATTTCCCACCCTTGGTACTCTGTTTTAGGGCTTCTCTGGACTGACTGGTAAGGGTACACACATAGACACATCTTAGAGGACAGCATTTGAACATACTCAACTCCCATTGCTGAGTGTTGACCCCACCCAAACTCAGAGCTCTGCATCAGGCTTCATGAGGTTGGCAAACAGTTCATTTTTACAGTTGTCTTTGAAGGAGAGTGTTAGATTCCTGGAAGGCTCCTAAAATGGCAGCTTACTGAGAGACCAACCAATCCTGAGCTAAACTGCCCAGCCTATATCATGGAAAGTTACCCAACCACCTAACTTCTTATAAAAAATGTCTGACTTCCCCTGCTTGCTGCTGTTTCTCTGCTCCCTGAGAGGCAGCCCAATAGTCTGTTTGCTCTCAAATGAACTGTTGTCTGGTCTGTGGTCTCTATTACATACTTCCATACAGGGAGCATCTGACCTTGCTAGCCACAAGCAATTGAGCAATTCGCCCATCCAGCCCAAGTCCTCCATATAAGACTTCTTCTTAACGGCAAGTCTATATCCTTGTATAACATAGGAGAGCATCTAGTTTCTCCAACCATAGTTGTCTTGCAGTAATGCAATCAGCTTTGGAGCCCAGCCTCTCTATGGAGCATGGTCACTGGGTCTGTCCATTCTCAGTGGCCCATCAGCAAGACCAACACCTTTTCCCAGTCTCAGAACCCAGTCTGTGGCCATGACCAAATACAGATTCCAATCAGCAATGTTACCCATTTGAGGCCTATATCCATCAACTCTGCTTAATTAGAGATGATTATAGAATCCAACCAGCAGTTCCATCTGACTGCAATGCCCAGACAATAATCTTACAAGACCATGGAATATAGCTAGTATCCTTATTTACCACAGAACACAAGAAATAGCCTGGCACAACCAGGGGACCTAGCAGTAAAGTGTTTGCCTATGATTGATACCACCTGACACATGCAAAATCCTAGCCTAAATTAAATAGTAAATGTGTATCCTTGAAAAAAAGAGTGGGAGGATGAAAAGAAAAAAAATCTATGAAGAAACTAAAACATGTTACTGCACTCTCAAATGTGCAGACACCAATGTAAAGATACAACAATGACAATGAATCAAGGAAATACCACAGCATTATGAAAGAAGGTACCAGAAGTATAGGTTATTAAGAATGCCTGATACATAGTATAAAAAGTGAACTGGTGGTTCAGGACAATGTTAACTTCACTGATACAACTAAAAAATCTAGGTATCTTTTATCTAATAATTGACCCTAAAGAAACATTTATGAAATAATTGACACAGAGTTCACACTAATCTTCTTAAATATGTTAAAGTAACTGTAGAAAGTAAATGCTGAAAATTAAAAACAATTTGGAAAATAAATCACAACCAAAATGAAAAGTTTGACAAATTATGAGAGTAATAGTCACAAGATTAAAAAAGTCCTATAAATAAAGAACCCAATAAATGGGGGCTAGAGAGATAGTTCAGTGGTTAAAAGCACTTACTGCTCTCCCAGAGGACTCAGGTTCAGTTTCCAGAACCCCCACGCCAGCTCACTACTGCCTGTAGCTCCAGTTCCAGGGGATCCAATGCCCTCTTCTGATCTTTGCAGTTTCCTGCATACATCTGATGCATATAAATACACCCAGGTGAGCACACACACACACACACACACACACACACAAAATAAACCTAAAAAAATCCAATAAGTGAACTGAAGAATTCAATAATAAGATTCAAAACAAGCCAGGTGTGGATATCTGTGAGTTCAAGGCCAGCCTGGTCTGTATTTTGAGTTCCAAGCTAGCTGGGGCCACAGGGAGACCCTGTCTCAAAAATACCATAAATAAATAAATTCATTCATTCAAAACAAGCCAGGCATGGTAGCCTATGCCTTTAATCCCAAGACTCAGGAGGCCAAGGCTCGGGGAGCTCTGTGAGATGGAGGCCAGCCTGGTCAACATAGTGAGTTCTGGGTCAGCTGGGGCTACAGAGAGATTCTGTCTCAAAAGATAAAACAAAACAATTAACAACAAAAAGATTCAACAACAAAATTAATTGAGCAGAAGAAAAATCTGAGGTCAAGAACAAGAAATTCTAAATTATCCAGTAGAGCAAAAAGAAAGAAGAATGAAGAAATATGGGAGTTCTGTGATATGATCGGAGAGCTATCCTTTATATAGTAGGATCTTCAGAAGGATAAAAGAAAGAAAGATGGGCATAAATCATACTTGAGGATCCCAGGGCTCAAAGTTCGTTTCTTTAATTCTTTAGAACAATGCTAACAGCCAGATAGTGGAATCTCACAGATCTTCAATAAAACCCAACCAAAACAGTTCACTAAGACACATCATAATCAAACTACCAAGAAACATCAAAGACAGAAGAAAGAACTCTGTGAATAGCAAAAGGTAAGATGCATATCACACATAAAGGAGTTCCTATATGGTTGTCAGCAGATTTCTCAGCAGAAACCATGCAAGCTAGGAGCAAGAGGGATAATATATTTAAAACAGTGAGAAGAAAATAAATAATTGCTAACCAGGAAAATCTTGCCTAGAAAATTGTCCTCCAAAAAAGAGAGAGAAGTATGCTAGCGATATGGCTCAGGTAGGGGCACTTGCCACCAGCCTGAGGAACCTGAGTTTGATCTCTAGAACCCATATGGCACAAGGAGAATTGACTCCCATAAATAATCTTATGACCTCCACATGTGTGCTGACACACATATACCTCCCCAAAATAAAATAATTTTTTGTAGAATTTTGTAAATGGAAGAGGGAGAAGTAAAAACTTCGAGACAACCAAAAACCAAGGGTTTGTCACTACCTTACAGGACTTGCTAAAAGAGTTCTTTAAGGTTAAAAAAATGAGCTAGAAAATCTTTGCTCTCTACCCTGTCCCTTTCTAGCCTTGGGCCCAAGCCTGCTCCTGCTCTTCTACCTCAGACCTCTAGACTAGCTTCCTAATCCAGACTAATTTAATCTTTTAGTGTAATTTGTGAAACCTTCCACAGGCTGTCCTCACCCCAACCTTCCCCTGGCCTCCTGATCTGATACAGACTGGCCTGCCTACTAACTTGATAAGTTACTCCTGCCCACTGCATCTTGAATCCCCTGCAGCCAGAGAACCTCCAATCTCCCCCACCCTGTCCCAACCCCCCTTCCCCATTCTAGACTTGGGCCCAGGCCCTCTCCTGCTCTTCTAACTCAAATCTCTTAACTATCCTTTTAGTCCAGACCCTCCCACTGCATCCTGATGCTTTTCATCCAAACTAGATCAAATTCTCAAGCTTCCACTCTTTGAAACCCCACAGGCTTTCACTATCTCCCTATCTTGCCCTGCGCCCCCCCATATGCCTACCACAGACCCACCTACTACATAAACCAAACTACTGCCCTGAAAGAACCTAAAGCACACACCAACTAACTTTTCATACCTAAGCAAAAAGCAACCAAGCTATATCAGCAACATAAACAGAACCAAAATTCAAACTAAACAAAGGCATAATAGAATTTTCTATCAGAAACACAACCAACAAAAGGCATCTATGTATATAAATGGCAACACAAAAACACAATTAATATGAAAAACTGAGATTATGTCCCAACAAAACCCACCAGTCTTATAGAAGTGTACTACAATCAGAATCACCCTGAGGAGTCCAATGATGAAGAATTTAAAAGAATAATCACAAACATGATCAAAAACTTAAAGAAGGAGGAAAATATAAGGCCAGTGGCATTTGACAGATCTTCAATAGGATTACAGAAGAAAACTTCTCTAAATTAAGGAATGACATACTGATACAGATTCAAGAAATGCATAGAACACCAATTAAACAAAACCAGAACAGAAATTTCCCATGGTATATCATAATAAAAACATTAAATGTACAGAACAAAGAGAGAGAGTTCTGAAAGCTTCTAGAGAAAAAAGCAAGCTATGTATAAAGGAAAACCAATTAGAATTACAGCTAACTTTTCAATGAAAACTATGAAAGCCAGAAGAATATAGAACAAAGTACTCCCAGTTATAAACGACCATGGATGCCA